CAGATCGACTATCACTTAATTTATTCATTCTTAAGATTTACTAACTAGAGTGTAAATTTATACACCCAACCCACCTCACACCGACCCAAACACCAGACACTCACCACCATAGTTAAATGAAGAGGCGAACTGCCCCATAAAAATAAGTGTTCGGCACCATTGACAGTTTATACATAATATGTATATTATAGATACTTATAGTGTGTAAACAATAATTAGATACACTTAATATTTTTGCGTAGAGCAATGCAACTTGAACTCTGTTTTTTTAAATGTTATACTTAATAAAACTCATTTTTATGAGCTTTGAACTTAAATCTGTTCATTACACTCGAGCATGCACAGTGAAACAATTTCGATTATATAAAAATTATTTTTATTTAATTTCAATTATTTTTATAGATGTTTTTTGTATTGGTCCCCTATTATTATGAAAAACGGTTTTAGATACTTGAAAATTTCCCCTTCTTATTTATTAAAGTTTTATTTCATTTTAAAGTACCCCCACCTCACCAATACAAATTTTATGTAGATCAAACAAATCAATTAGGTTTAATAAGCATAATTAACTGAACATAAAAACTGGAGTGTATGCCGACCCTCAAATAAGCCTTCAACATTTAATAAACAAAATAAGAGCAGCATGTAATAAACTGATCAAAGAACAGATTTCAGTCTGCACTAAAAATTAATTTATCCGGCGTGCTAAAGAATGATTTTGAAAAAATGGACATATATTTGAACAATTAATAACATTAATTAATTATTATAGTATTTACTTATATAAGTATTATTAAATACACTTTAAATTTACCAGAGTTTATTTTATCATTATAAACCTATAAAATCAATTTTTTTAACTATTAAATAAAAAAATAGATTCTTGAATAGAAATGTATTTTAATTTACTATTTTAAATGATAATTTTCAATTAATTAAACTATGAATAATTAATAAATAATATGTTTCAAAAAAAAAAAAAATTCCAAATATATATTCGTATATATTCTATGTCATAATTTAAATCGGTGTTTTCTTTATAATGTATGATGTCACAATTGGTGTAACTAGTGTAGGAACTATGCCCCAGTGGCGTGAAGCATTATATTTAAGAAAATAAATCGTAAGAATAACAAAAATATATTTTCTTAATATTCTGACAAGTTAAAATGAAGTTAACAAAAAACTATAACATTAAGTACAATTTTATAAAAATGTCAACCATTAATAAAAATTATAAAAGGTTTAGACATAAACAAGTCTGGCTAAAATATTTATTTTCTATAAACAATTTAGTTACGCTAAATATTATAAACATCAATATAAATAATTACTTAATCTTGAATCGTTCCAGTAGAAATGATTCATGTTTTGTGAAATATTTTAATTCGAAATAGAACCTTATCTTATATAAATATATGATATAGGTATTTAGTATACAGTATATACAGTACACTGTATTAGTGAATATATAACTAAAAAGAAATACATATCCAAAAGTCAGTATAGTATTATTTATTCTTTAGTAAATATATATTTACTTATTAATTATTATTGTTACTTATGTTTACAGCTGAAATGGAAAACTACCCTCGCTGTATCAAAAACATAGATAACATAGCATGGGTTCCTGGTCATGATCCTAAATTTTCTGTACCAGATAATTCCCGACCTGGAACTCTTTGTTTAAAATACAAAGGAATGAAAATCTTCAGTACGTAAAATCTAAAAAAAAATTTATGAAGATAATGTTTTTCTAAGGCTCTTTTTCACAATTTTTTTTATATATCAATATTATTAACTAATCAAAAATATTAGTACATTCCTCAAATTAACCATAATCTAAAATTAGTTCAAAACATTTTACATTTGGTGTTAACGACGAAAAAAAAGTATCAAAATTATAACTAAAGTAGCATAATAAAGAATTTTGAAAAATTACTTACTTCAACAGATATGTCTTAATATACGCATGTTGATGTAATCATGGTATTAAGAGTCTAATAAGTTTTATAAGTGCTTAATAAACTTATTTTTCTTGTTGTTTTTAGTACCATGTAAAGCCACTAAATTACAAAGCGACAGCAACATAGTTAATGATGACAAAGAAAAAAAAATAATTCCAATTATAAATTTAAAAGCAGCAGGTCAGCGGATACGGAGAAAAGTAATCGATTCAATAAAGACATAAAAGTTATAAAATTTCAAGTACCAGCGATGGTTAATCATTACAACGCCACCATGAAAAAACATGTCAACAGTTTCGATAACAATGTTAAAAATGTATCGGCAATATATGATATGAAAAAAGAACTTGGTGGTGGGGACTGCGAAAAATTATACCTGATTGAAAAAGAAAAACTTAATCTTAAACATGGTACTGTTAGACGTTTAACCAAATTATTTGAGAATATGAATGCTACTTCGGCAAATAAATAAGTTGAAATATGACTCAAAAGATCAGAATTCAGAACACTATTCAGTTAGTATCGCATTATAAAATAATACTAAAAACATTGTGTTGATATATATTTAAGAATAAATTGTAAATAATTGTTAATAAAGATATGTTCAAACATAATATATTCTACCAATATAATAATTTATGAACATATCATGATATTGCAGACTGCTTGTCATGAAACGGTTAATCCACGGTACATTAATATTAATATAAATTTAATTAAATAACTAAAATAATTTAATGAGAAATTATTTAAATCATCCAGTTTCTCAAAATTGTATTTTATAACAAAAACATAAAGAAAATCTTAAGAAAATATTTGTTTCCAATTTTCAACCATTAAAAAACTTGTATAAATTTGGGAAAGCCATCATTAATTGTCCATAATAATGTGGGTATATAGGGTATTGTATCAATTTGAGACAATTTTATCGGTTGATATTTGATAAAACGGGCCGGACTGTCCGAACAGAAAAAAATAAAATGCCGATTTTATATGTCAGTGAGTATGTACTTACGGAAGCGTTGAAAGGCCAACTGTATGTTTTTTTTTAACTCATTATTATAGATTATCACAACTCATTATTATCAATTAGAATTTATAAATTAGAATAATGTGGAAAAGGGGTTTTGTGTGTACTTTTAAACTATTCAAATGGATTCAAATTGTTGCCAACCATATGACTTAGTACTTACTACTACTTACTACTCAAATTTCATTTTTAGTTTGATAATATAATATTATAATATGATATTATATTATACATATAATAAAACATAATTTGTAATTTACACGTATAAATATGTAATATATTTTATTTTACAAAAATATTTTTAAATATTATATTGTCGGCTATTAATGGTCCTCTCCGGTGGCGTACCTATACATAACTTTTGTATGGGGGAGGGATCATATGTAAACAAATCATTATTTTTTTTACGTTTCTAACGCCCTCACGCTAAGAACATTATTTTATAACATTTAAAAATAGGCCTAGGTGGAATCTGACCGCCATATATCCCCCTTGTATACGCCATTGGTCCTCTCAATATATTAAAAGTTATATAAAAAATATATTACTCATTAATGTGATTGCTTTGTCCCGGTTTCACTTTATAAATTTATGGCAACCCTAACAACCAGAAACTTAAATATATACCACGGTCCGTACAAAACATAAACTTTCGGTTAAATCTTATACACATATCACAACCTTGCACGACGCATAAACATTTAAACATATTTCGTTTTTACTATTCCCACACAAGTGCGTTGGACGTTACGGATAAATTTGTTTTGCGCGATTTATATAATAATTCAAATTAAAAAATAAGATCGTTCGCGCAAGTGTCACGTTACCTTTCAATTTATACCATTTCGTGTTTACCGGAGCACTCGATAACGGTGTCGGCGTGTGATGTCCGAGAATTTTCGATCGGCGTGTTATCGCGATACGACTTCACCGGTCCGTGGACGCCATTACTCCGTGACTTTTTTCCGCCTACACTTTCTCTACGAACGTCCGACTCGTCGTTTTTCCCATGCCACCAGCCGTGTGTTTTTGTGGTTGCGGCATAGCACGGTGGAGTTACATTTTTTACGATATATGTAGTATTCATTTGTGAAATATATATTACACATTAAACTTCTCTACTCAAAAACAAATTGTTCACGATCATTTAATATTAAAGGGGAGTTATATGATGTTTTTAAGAAATACATGAATTAATGATTCACAAATGAAACGTCAGATAAATTTTTTTTTAGTTATAAAAACGGTTAATGCATCAAAAAGGTTATTGAAAAAATAAAATTGAAAATATGCCTTAAGATATTTTAATTTTTTTTATACGTTGTAGCAATACTCACGTACCTGCAGAAAAAAATGTATGTTCTTCTAAATCAAATATTCGTCACTAATAAGTTCATGTAGCGATAAATTTAAGTTCATATTTTTAATACCTTCTAACGTTGTTTCGGAACCCTTTAGTAAAAACTGCTGTGGAAAAAATCCCCTTCAGCATTTAAATTTTTTCTTATGCACTCGTAGATAGTAATATGAATCAAGTATACACCGTAATAGACGGCTCAATATAGTTCATACTTTGGGCAGTCACTATTAAAAATGTAAAGCTGTGTAATATAAAATATGAACAAACCGAAAAGGGACCAATTATATTTGGTTTAGTAAATTTCAAACTGACAACAACAATTTGTAAAAACGCTCCAGTACATTTATTATTATTATTATTATTATTCAAGCAATAGCAAAACTCCTTATTTTAACTGACCGATACAACAAGTATGAGCGTACTGTAAAACGAGTGATATTCAATATTACACAACATAATAATATAACATATTTAAGTACATATAAAAAATTATATTTATAATAATACTAATATATGTGAGTAGAATTTTAAAAAAGAATGTCCATAAACATAAATATGCACTATAATATTTAACATACATTTTATATAATTTAATACATAATACAAAATATCATATACATAATATAAATACAATCATACATCATTATTCGTCGTCATCGGAATCGATATTATTCTGAATATTCTCGTCGCTGTCTGGCGGCGAATCCAAAAAATTTTCAATTGGAGGTGATCGCGGTAACGATAACGGCGAAATTGGATGCGGTAGGGATGGAGGGGAATACAACACTTGTGAGGGTGGGTAATTCCCCTCTGGAGATGAATAAGATGTCATACAAGGAGGTTTTAACACCAAATAAAGTATATGCGGTTGTGAGTGAGGAGGTTGTGGAAACTGTGGAATCGGATAAGGCGTCAGTAGCATTGAATGATGCCTATGTAGAATTGGACGAATTGGCCCCTGTGGAATTTGACGAGGATAAAGTAAAGGAAAACGATGCCGCTGTGGAATTGGATGAAGCCTCGGTGGAATCGGATGAGGTCTCAATGTAATCGGATGATGCCGCTGTGGAAATGGATGATGCCGATGTGGAAACGGATGCTGCTGCTGTGGAATCGGGTGATGTTGCTGTGGCATTGGAAGATGTCGCTGTAGAATAGGACGAGGTCCCAGTGGAATCGAACGAGGTGGCCGTAGATACAAACAATAAGACCGTCGTTCGAAACGAGATGGCTGTTGAAATAAATTAGGTTGTCTTGAAGAACGATGTTGCTGTGAAATCGGACGAGGCACTATTGGAATTGAACGAGGCTGAATTAAATGGGTACGACGAAGCTGTGGAATCGGACGAGGCCCCAGTGGAATCGTACGAGGTCGTGCAATCAAAATAGACCGCCGTCGTTCGAAACGAGATGGCTGTGAAGAGGACTGAGGAAGTTGTGGAGACAAACGAGGTGGTTGTCGAGGGATGGGAAATCGCCTGGGAGGCAAGTAAGGCATTTGTGGAGACAATCGTGGTGGCTGTGAAGGATGAGATGTGAACTCGACTAGATCTAGAATCATAAAAAATCAACAATTAAATATTAATCATATATAAAGAGTACTCATCGTTTCAGACCGGTTTTAATTTTTGTTTTGAAATCAGTATAAAAGTGACTTTTTCACCGTTGGTGGTTATTTATTTCGTATGATTATGAAAATTATAAATATATAACGCATAGTAATAATTACGAATATTATAAATTCATATGACATAGAATCAATCTGATATTAATATATATTAGAAACATCAAGGAGTTGAAATTTGACTAAAAAATCAAAGCTATTTAATTTTGCTATTGATTTAAGCTTACAATTAATAATAATAATAATAATAATAATAGTAATAAGAAGTGAAGACGTCAATAATAATTTAACCGGCCATAAAATCATAGCGTATTCGAAATCACAACACAACCTATCCATCCCCACCATTTTAGTCACGAACCAGCGATAAGACAAGCGTCGCGCGGTTACCGATTTGAATAATGTGTTTGAATAGTAAACGTCACATTGTTCTCAAACGTATCCAGCAGTTAAAACACGTGAACGTGTTGACATTCGAATGAATGAAAAGAATAAAAAGTATAAAAAAAAACAATATTATTTACCGGAAGTCGACTCATTGACTGCATTGGACGCGTTCGGATACGATGACATGACGAATGGGTCTGCGGCGACTGGAAGGAACGTGCGATCGACGGTGTAGTGATGACAAACGGTGTGTCGGATGAACGGCGGACGGTGTGTGGACGGCGAACAAATCTGCGACGAAGGACCAACACGTTGAGTCGGTGGAAGAGCTGCAACAGTAACAGCAACTGGCCGGGTGTCGGGATCGTCGTCAATGCGCCATCTATGCACAAACAATACGCGCGATCCTGTGTGCGTGCGCGCGCGCGTTTGTGGGCGTGATGGCTGCGCGTCTCAACAACCGAAGGGAAGAACTTTTTCGGAATTCGTTTTTATTATATTTTTTCGCGGAATAACACGTACTATAAAGCAATCTCTTTACGTTTACGGAATCGGAAAATTCCCGGAATCGTTGTGCATACAAGCACGGAACTAGGAGGTGGAAGACAGGGATTCATCCCCAGGCGTAACATTTTAGAGGGTGTAATTTTTGTAATTATTAACAATTACTTTGATATTTTTAACTTCTTTAAATACTGTCATTATGTTGAAAATCGATAAGTATGATTATATATTAATCATTAGAAAAAAATTCTCGAGAAGTGTATTTAATTATGGGTCTATGATAGGGCGTAATTTTAACATTTTCCCCGGGCGTAAAAATTTCTAGTTCCACATCTGCATGGAATTACAAACCGGCGATTTGTTAACAATTAAAACGTGCCATACGCTGTTCACCCCACTGTAAGTTGACGTACTAACATCGCGATCGTATAAAACAACATATTATTTTCGCGTTATTACGAAAAACCCGTCGTCATGTCGGTCGCGTTCGCGTTCTAAGAAAACGACTAAAGTCGTGTGTCGTTCACCAATATGATTTATACATTCACGTTAATAATTCACGTACATTCACGAACGCTCTGATATATATGATATGATTTTTATTGTGTTTAAAGTTGAAAAAACGTGCTACATGCACTGAAAACAGTTTTTAAAAGAAACTATAACAGGTTTATTTTGTTTTTACTCGATATTGTAAAATTTACGAATTGTTACACGGCACGTTATTCCCGGCGACCCTTAAATTAATATTGTTTTGTGCGCAACACCCGCGAAACGGTTGCCGTCGCGACGACACATAAGCCGAAAACGATCTATGCGATGACATGAAAAACCGTCCGCGGTGGACTGCTCTGATCCGTCAGCGAACGGGGTTCGACTGCAATAATAGAATAAAAACATCAGGCGAACAATGTCGGTGGAATACCCGAGAACGGTATTCCTCGTGTGCAATACTTCTGCAGCGTAGCCGTAGCCGTATTATACATTCGTTCGTACCGTATAGCGTGTTCAGACTTCGGTGGCAGAGGAGGAGGCGTAAAAAAATGTTAAATCGAACGTTTTTTTTTTTTTTTCTAGACATGAAGAAATATTTATATTTTATGTTAAAAAAACTCGCAATGACAGGAATATATTTTAATTAGGACCAAAAAGCATAACCGTAAGCGTGTCAAAAACGATAAAAATACATTTAAGACTAAAACGCATACATAATAGTACTGCATTGCATCATACTGTCGGTGTACGATTTCTTTTTTTATCCGGGCACGATTTTGTTGGAGGTACAGTCAGCGGGGGGAGGAGAAGGTGGTAGGGGAGGCAGTTTGTCCACCCGGCTCCTCCCGTAAACACGCCTATGGTTTTAACGGTTAAATTGTACAGCAACGAAATGTTCGTCGCGTGCGAAAAACGATTCCGAGCGAAGATAAACGTAAGATTTAAGCGGTATGGTTACTGGATGCAGCCCATTCGTTGACATTGCGTGCGAAATCCGGATTCGTCATTGGTTTCGGGTCAATAAGAAACCGTAAAAACGTATTCGGTCGAATACCTCGCCGAGAACAATACGCGATTAGCCGACATTTGACGAATACCAGTGATAATAATGGTATCACACGCAACATTAAAATTTAATATTAACAATTTAATAATTTAATTATTGTGTGTGTTACGCATTCTAAGTGCTCTACGCACATGTAGCACTCGGAATAATTGTTGAACAGTCACAAAATAATATTATCGGGATTTCAACACGATTGATAAAAAGCGTAGTTCATTATTATTAATATACAATTCTACATGACTATATTTTATGTATATGACTTTCTCTGATTTATATAACAATATGATATAACATTGTCGAACGATTCAGACGTATAATAAAACAATAAATTTAAATGGAAATAATGTGTACTAAGTGTAATAACAACTTCTGGTAAAACATGTTTTTAATGATATTTACAATCAATATCGGTACTTAGGTACTTAATTAGTTGGCGTATATTCAATCTTGCTCTGGAGGGGGGGGGGGTTAACAAAAATAATCTTTATCTTTTTTTTAGTTGCACAGATAAATAACTGTTATAAATATATATTATTTTATACAACATTTTTACCAATTTACAGTTTATTTTTACATTATTGGTAGGAATATAAAAACAACATAGTTAATAAAACTTCAGACACCTATCAATATAATTATTTAATTATTATAATATTTGTGTAATTTTATATTTTAAGTTCAAAGAGTAATAATGAAATTACGAATATATTACACGTCGTCAATAATAAAACAATTTTCTTTTCTTTTTTTTTTGGCCCTGGGGTTTGAATCCGAATCCATCTTCCGTATTTATACTACTGTACCTAATATTATACAGAATGACTTTTTTTTAATTTTTAAGTTATTAATGCGTGGCTTGTTCGTTTTTTAATGTTATTTTCGTCAACATTTTTTTAAACGCGTAGGTATTGTCTAACAGGGCAAAAATATGTACAACCAATATGGTTAAAACATTTGTACTTTGGAAATCTACATTTAATTGTTATTTTATTAGTGGTTGGGTATTTAGTTTTGATAATATCGTTCTTCATACAATGTTATTTTCTATACGTTTTATTCATAATTATACGGCGGGAAGGTTCGGCTATCGACACATCATTAGGTACAATTAGGCACCTGCATTGCAAATGATTGATATATTTGTTCGTTACTTTGATACATTGTTCTTCCGTGGAACGGTCGCAGTCGCAATGATATGTAGCCGAAAATGATTTATTGTGAGGATGTCGAAAACTGTCATTAATGGACTATAATGATCCATTAGTGAATACATTTTTTCTTCTACTCCTTCGCCTATTTGGGATCGATCAGGTTAGCGAATAAATTTGATTGCAATGAAAAAAATGTAAAAATAAACCATGCAAAAGGTGGTAAAACCAGGGTTTAAAACCGGTAACCGGTAAAAAAATTTGAGAACCGAAAACCGATAACCACTTTTAGTTTTGAAATTCTGGAAGCGGTTATTGGTTATCGGTAATCAAGGTAAATATCTAAATATTAACATCAAAGCGATTACCTCGTATTTTAAATCCCGGTTTTATAACCAAAACTTATTCCCGACCAAAATAATTAACGGGTTTTTCGTAGTATTAATACTTGAATTATGTTATGATTACATTATACTATTATAGTTGAATTTAATTTTCCAGCTATTATTAAATATTTTTCCCTAATTAATGGCCATCAAGTATTGTTTATCTGTTTTGAATATCATATATATATACATACAATGTATCAATCTTAGTGTCATCTTAGAAAATTATTATATTTAATTTCAGTTTTTTATTGTTATAAATAAGAAAATTATAACAATAACATTTTTTTATGCAATTTAGTTTTTTGATTATAATTATCTTGATCATAATATATTTTAAACTTAAAAGCAGTTTGAAAAAATAAATATTGAAATTGAGTGAAATAGACCAAATTAAAGCATATTAAGTTTTTGATTTTGTAATAATAAAAGTTATATTATCAACCCACGAATCGCCTAAATAAACTGTTTTAAAAATATGATTAAAAAATTGAAAAATATGGTTTTTAAAAACCTGTTTAACCGGTAATCGATTACCAAAAAACCTTATCATCGGTTTTTAAACGATTAACGGTTATTATAGTTTTTGAAATATCCTTAAAGAAACGGTTACCAATTACGATAATATCAAAATTAAACGATAACCGATTTTCAGTTTTAAAAAAATATCGGCTCTTGCCGGAGCCGATTTTATTAGGAATAATTTTAAGCCCTGGGTAAAACACTAAATATGGTATTCTTCGTGTAAAAGTTGTCTGCCGCCTAGCCGTTGTCGCATTATTTGTTAAAGCTTGTCAGATGAACATTTCAATGAAAATAATACATAATTAGCAAATATTTGATGAGTACTAATGATACTTAATAATAATATCACACACAATATTACAATATTATGTATTATTCACTCTAGAGTTCTACACATATTCTAGTATTCTGAAAAATTATTGAACTATCACAAAATAATAATATCAGAATTTTCACGCGATTAATAAAAAAACTGAATTGATTAATATTAGTATACCACTCAAAATGACCATATTATATATATATATATATAGGTATAATTAATAAAAATTAATAAAAGGTTATAATCTTTTTATAAGAATTCTATGTCCAATAAAAAAGTATTTTCACTAAAATATACAACATAGTATCTACTAACTTAATATTACATAATCTGACTTTCTTTTGAATTTGTAAGCATTGAATCATGCGTTTTTACTGTAATTTTCAACAATGACTTTTCATTGAAAACTGTACATAAAATATCGTAAGTTCATTGTATTTTCAGCTTTGGTAAGAATTAAATTAATGAAAATCGACGACGGAAATCGAATCAGTACATAGTTACAAAAATTCATTTCAGAAGTTTTACGTAGGAGAGATAAACACATTCGCGAAACAAAGTAGAATTTCATTTATAATGCGGTGCACGTGCGGTATTTACGTCACAAAGGTATTAAATCGATTTTAGATATTTTTTCCCAATGTTGGACGAATATCTTACAGGTGTGCGGCCCACTTGTAAACGTGCGCAGCTGGATGGTAACGATCACGCAGTTGTGTGGGTTTAAGGGATTTCACGCT